CAACAGAAAAATAAATGGACAGATATACGCAACAACAGAAATCAATTTCAAAAGCACTTTATAAAGCAAAATACATCAAATGGAATAGTGTGAACTATGTGATGCCATTTCTGTGATGTTCAGGGGTAAAACCAAGCTGCACAGACGAACCAGGACCTGCCTGCCAGGAGGAGGAAAGGATTTCTGGAAGAGATGGGGAAATCTTTTAAGGAGAGGGTGATGGAATCAGGGTGTGGCTTACAAGGTAGGTACCTTTGTCAAAATCACTGGACTGCACACACTTCAGGTTGTGCCTTCTACAAAATTTGACTTTATCTTTTAAAAAAAATTATTTTCACTATTTTATGTATATAAATGCTTGCCTACATGTATGTCTGCACAACACACTCATGTTTGGTGCCCTTGAGGGCCAGAAGAGGATAGTGGATCCCTTGGAACTGAAATTACAAATATTTGTGAACCACCATGTGCCTGCTGGGAACTGAGTTCAGGATTTCTGGAAGAACAGCCAGTGTTGTTAACTACTGAGTCAACTCTCTATACCCTTTGATTTTATCTTAATTCAAATTCAAAATTAACTACTGAATGAAAAAAATTGCTAGCCAAGCTTAATATGCCTTGAATTGGAATAACCTCCAAATAAATGATTTTATGTGGGGTAGAAGGGAAGAAACAAGACAGAATACACATGCCAGAGGATTCTATTTGCCCTAAAGAGGCAGGTTTTTTTTAATATATAATTTTGGGTATATGCAACGTTTCTAGAAGGCTCTGTGAGCAAGTGTTGGTAGTTACCTTTGGGGAGGGAATGTGGGGGACTCAGGTCTGAAGTGGAAGACACATTAAGATAGCTCTTTGTCCTGCTGTCATTTCTTAGTTTGTTTATATTAATTTTTATTACTATGAAGCCTTGATTGGATAACAGGGTGTTCAGAGGTTGAATTCTAACCTCTCTTTACCCTTGATAGGTCAGCAAGGAGGGGGCAGCCCAACATTCCAAGTTGGAAGTGGCATTTGGACAGGCAGATCATGACTCCTCCGAGCTCCCTAGCGTCTGGGTTCTACCTGTTTCCAGACACCAGTGGAAAATAACTGAAAATCTGGTTGCAAAGATTTTGAGCTGACATGTCACACACTTGCAGTCCCTCCTGAGATATGGGAAGATTCGTCCCAGTGAAAGAATTGTGACGGTGAAGAGGGTAAAGTCTCCCCTGGTAGACTGAGAGACAAGATGCTGTGAGACTGGAGCAAGGCCACTGGGAAGGAGGGAGCCTGCTCTGGGATGGGACAGCCAAACAATCCAGTAGCTTGCTTTTATGTCTATAAATAAGAATATACCCATGTTCTTACCAAGAGCATCTTTATCCGTTTCAGGGGTGACTCTTAGTGAGTTGATGTCCTGTCTCTCTATTGCAAGCAAGAAGTTTTAGGAGAAGTGACTTCACCTGTCCCAGGCAGATGCCCCCAGAGAAACTGAGCTCAGAGGAAGCAGGGAAGGAGACCCACAGGTGCCCTTGGACACACCTACTTTGGTGCCCAGAGGGTAAGAAGCCCCTGGGCCTTGGCTTTTGGAATGAAAGCTCTTTATGGACTCCTAAGTCCCTGGTAAATACATTCACAAGACAATAATGGTCATGATTTTGTTCTCAGCTAATTGTGACCCCAAATGTCTGGTTCACATATTAAGAAGAGGGGTCTGGATACAACATAGGTGGTGGCCAAAGATGGCCTTCTGCAACTGGCTAAACCTTGGATGGGAGCCAAAAGTCACGGGCTTGCTCTCAGCTGATGCACGGAGATGGAAACAGTGATACTGAGGAGGAGTTTAGATGGCAGAAGGAAAGAGGTGGTCACCTAAGATGAGGATCCCCAACTCTGGGAAAGACACTGTCTAGTCTGACCCTTTCACAGTGGAAACAGATGCCTGGAGTACAGAATGACTTGCTCCATGTCACATGTGAGGACCCAGCTGGGTTTACGGTGCACACTGTAACCATGGTGGTCCAGTGGACCCCTCAGAGAAAGCGTGGCCCTTGGAAAGTGGAGGTGGTGCTGAAACTTTTTGACAGCCAAGCCGCCTGCTCTCTTGCTATCTGCTGATGATTTCCTGTGGCATTCTGTGGAAATGGAGCCACCAAGTGGCTCCGGGAGATGGCAACAGACATGGTTGCTTACCCAGCAGCTCCCCCTACCTTGCCTTTTCTCCTGATAGAATCTAGATTTTCATTTGGTTAATGAATGGAAATCCCTTGATCAGGAAACACAGGATAATTCCCAATGCATGGCATTGTCACTGAAACCCATCTCTGTCAGCAGCTGGTCAAAGGAAATGCATGGGACCTGGTTCTACCCAACGAAACATAAAGGGGAGTCTCCACGGGGCTTCTATGAGAGGCTGTGTTTCCCCTAAAAAAGATACACTTGGGCACCATCAGACACCCCAACTCCTGCACCCTCTCTTCACTCCTAGAAGGAACACAGAGGAAGATGTGACCCTAGGCTCCAGAGAGAGGGCAAAACTATGATTCCCTAAGGGTGACAGAGTGGACTGTGGAGGCCAAGCCTTTGGTGGTGTAAGCGAGCCACTGGATGATCTTACCTCCACACTTCGATTAAGTAAACATCATTGTCCTACGGCCAACACACTGTCCACTGGGGTTTCAGTTATTTACACCCCAAGGCATTCCACATGAATGCAAGTCGGACATGTTAGTGTGCCTCCACTCAGCTGTAAGAGATGTCACTCAGTGACAGCCTTAGGTCATCCTCTTACACTATGGGTTCTGCTTTCCAGATGGTATGAAGGACTAGAGTCCTCTACTCACGCTACCAAATCCTCTCCTCCACACTGGCCACACTACCTATCTTTAAGTGCCCTCTTGGGATGCTCTTCTGCCCTGACTTTTCCCACTGCATCAAGCACGTGACCATTCTATACAGATCAGCCCTTGGTCATTCATGGTGACCTACTCTGGCTCAGCCACAGTGCTGTCTCTAGACCCAATAGCAATCAAGGACTTCAGTCACAATTGGGCTGTGGAGATCAGAGAATTGGGTAAGGAGAGGCCACCGATGTGACATGATGGTCACTATTCTATCATACTCTCCTCAGAGAGAGTCTTAGGGAGAGGACCAGTTCTGTCTGCTTCAGCACCATCCTGAGCCCATCTCAGAGGGGGCAAATGGAAGGTCTCATGTTAAGGGATCTTTCCTGGGTAAGCAGGGCCTTGGGGTAGGCTGGCTCTCATCCATGTACCTTTCCCTATAAGCCCAATAAAGCCAAGGCCCTTCATGGCTAGAGGAAGGAAAAAAGGGTTTAGAACAAGAGGCCTATCTTTACTGGAACCAGAACTGCCACTAGCTGGACTGAGAACTTGTCCCTTGGCTTCTCCAAGCCTTGTTTTTCTTCTAGGACAAGACAGGATCCTAATGCAGGCTCTCTCACAGGGTAGCCACAAATATGGAATATGATAACTGGCAGATTCACCAGGTCCAGGAAGGCCAGGCACCCAGGAGGTGGACAGAGAGTAACTGTTTATTCATCTATCTCCCTCTGTCTCCTCCACAAGGCACAAAATCACACACCAGTCAGCACACTGGAACTTTCCATAGCAGACAGGGTATTTGACAAGAGTAAGCCTTCAACAGTGTGGTCAGGAGTTATCCCTCTCAAGGAACCAGGCCCATAGTTGGTCTTTGATGGGGATTCCTTGGGTCCCCATACTGTCTTCTGCCCAGAAAATTGACATCCATGGACCTTATGTACCCACCAGAGCTTCTTTTCAGCAGGGAAGAGAATGTCACAGAGGGACAAGGGAGAGCTTCCTCTCCTGTCTCCCTTTCATGCCAGGGGTCCTATGGGTTCCCATGGACATTCTGGAGTAATTCCCCATACTGTCAGGTCAGACGATTTACCCGGGCAGGGCCTGTCTGCTCAGGGACCAACAACCCACTCAGTCTCAACCATGCTCTGGTGCCACCAGGCCTGGCCACAGTGCACAGCCATCAAGGGAAAGGCCTTCCCAGAGGAGCTCAGACTCCAGCAGGGCAGAATAACTGCAGTGGCCCGGTCCTTGGAGATGAGCTGCTGAATCTGCTCTGGGTCTAGCCAAGGGGAGACTTAGGTAACCCACTTTGATACCACCCCCCAAAGAGATACCATTGTCCATCCTTGGAGTGTGATCCCAGCTGTACTGGGATGGCAGGAAGAACATTCCCAGAGGAATCAAACTGAGCTCCTTGGAAAAACAGAGGTTTTTCTCAGGAGCTTTGGCCAGGGGGGGCTGAGCAGTTTCCGTCCAAGTAAATAAGGGGGTCCAGGAGTCGGTGGGAAAGGAGTTTGAATTGTTAATTAATGTGAAACAAGGCAAGTAGGTGACAGGTCAGCCAAGGGTGAGCAGGCATGTGGTGATGTTAGCACCTCAGGTGATGGTGCCAGGTAGGGTCCAAGTCTTCAGGAGGCCTTGACTCCCACTCTCACTCTGGCAGTGGGAAGCTGTTCAAGATCAGAGTTCAGTCTTGGATGGGAAGTCCCTTCAGAGTGACAGAGATGCCCCTGGGACACCCAGAAGAGGCACAGGGGCTGGGCTCTCACCCTGGTGATCTGATCTCCATGTGGACACCATGAGAACAAGCATGTGAGAACCAGAGCCCAGCATGGGACCAGTAGTCTTTCAAAGCCACATGGTACAGGATCTCGAGTCCTGGTCCCCGTTTCCTGCCTGTCCCAGGGGACATGGCAGGGTCCTGGGAAAGATGGGCTCTGTGGCCTCTCAAAGGGACTTGCTCCTCTTCTGAGTCTATCTTCTTCCAGTCACCTGTTATCATCTCTGAATCTGAGCCTGGAGAAAGAGGTGGCTAGTTGGCTAGGTCTTCTTGGGGTGTTGGCATCATTGGATCACACTGGGGTCTGAGCACCAGTGTTCTGTGCAAGATGTGCCAGAAGGTTCATAGTCCACAAAAGGGTGGGGGGGCCAATGCTTGTGCTCTTGGGGCTCTTCCTAAGTGTTAATACTTGTCATATTAGCCCAGTCAGGGAAAACATCCAAGTTAAATATGGACCGTCCCCAGGTGTTGACTGACAAAAACACACTTGCGATTCCAATGAAGTTCATTATGAATCCTGATTTTACCTACAGAATAAAAACAGGATCAGTCAGCAACACAGGTCTTGTCTGGGTCTTGTGTTCCTGTATTCAGGTTCCCTCTCATCCCCAGACAAAGCAATTCAAGTGTTATTGTTGCTGGAGGAATCCCCGGGGAGGATCAGCACAGGTAGGTTCTCTATACCCATTATGGCATTGGGAAGTGACTTTGGAGAGGTGATACGAGGCACCCACCACTCCTGTAACCTTCCAGCTCTCTCTGCCACCCATGCTGCATGCCTTCCTAACTGTTATGAGCCATCACTCCAACGCACTAGCATGGACTTTTTGCTGGGGCTCAGAATCAAATTTGCAGTGTGTGGTTTCTGGGATCCATGTGCTTAAAGAAAACTCAGGAGGAACCCCAGAGTGCCCAAGGTAGGACTAATCTGGCTCCCCAGGTCACCTAATCACTCATCCCTAGCCCAGAGCCACAGAGTTACTCTTCCCCCACCAGAGGTGAGAAAGCCAAACCTGGCTTGCAAAGCTCTGCCTGTGACTGTTGGCTTCCAAGGCATCACTGACTCCCAAGTAAACTGGATATGTCATCCCTGAATCCCTTCTTCAGGCATCCCCACAGGTCTCTCTGACTACTGTCCCCCTCCTGAATGTCCTCAGGGCTCTTGCTAGTGAATTCTGATGTCATGTGAGGTCCCCACTCCATCCCTTCCAAATGTTCAGCCAGGACTTCCCCTGGGACCCACAAAGGTTTCTCCAGATAGCACCTTCCATGGGAACAGAACTCATATGAAATCATTTCAATAAATAAGAAAGGCTGCTCCATAAATGAAAATGTCAAATAC